TGTATCTTCAGATATCAGACGAGGGGGCTTGTCCCCCGAGTCTGATATCTGAAGATGCACGAGTTAAAAGGTACTCTATATGTTTTGTATCATTGTTCTCATGCACTGAGTTACCCATGATCTATCAATTTCACGTTAATAGCATGTAATTCAACTACAGTGTATATTCTCATGCACTGAATTAGCCATGATCTATCAAAATTTCATCATACCATTTTATATAACCAATGAAAAAAGAGCACGTGATTCGAAAAGTATAGCGCGCTGTATTTCTTGAACTTTCTACCTCGTCCATTCATATTTTGAACGCCATGGATGACGGTTGTGATTTTATGCTTGCGCCATTCTTATAGACACGGAAACCAAAATTATGAAGGAATATTCCTTAGATCAGTTAGGAAACCAGATGCAGGTTGAAGATTCTTTGGGAAGTGATGTTTGATCTACCGGGACTAAAAATTGAACCTATTATAGATTTCGATATAGGAGCTATTTTAGACGTTAATTTCACCAGTCCCGAGGTTGACATGAAGGCGAAAAATGAAAGGTTTGTACAAGTGTCCGATCATGAAATTCAGCGTTTGATAGACTCTAAAAAATATCAACACTCGTAAAAATACCAAATGGCAATTTAAACGTTCAGGCTATTAATCAAGGAGTAGCGTGCGGCACAGGAAAATGTCCACTTTTGACCGAGATGAACAGCGATTCTCTGCTTAAATTACTGGATGCAGCGATTTGTGTTGGAATAAGAAAACAAGGAATATCCACCTCGCTCCCTGTACTACATTGTGTGTGGTTTGTTACGCTTTAAGTTTATGAGAGACGAAAACGTTCATTTATAAAAATGTGCGTGTGTGAATTCCATTTTGGATTTAAAAAAATTGCAAAATTTAGAATGTTTTATGTAGACCTAAGGAAAGGTATACCTTCACTATGTTTATATGTGTTTGTATTTTGCTTATAAAGTCAGCTACTTTGTTTATATTCTTTTTCTATATCAATGTAAGGTCAAGGGTCATTGGAATTGTTGCATCATTATCTGGCGTGTTCTATCTTGATAGAGCATGGTTGTTAGAGCACAGTTAGTCATGGTGTATCAAAAATAAAAACACAGTGGACATCAAAGGAAAAACGCCGCAGCAATGATAGATTTTGTAAAGTTGTGTTAGCGTGACGGCGTGTTTTGTGTTAGCGTGACGGCGTATTTTGTGTTGGCGCGACGGCGTCTTGTGTAAAGTTTCGTTAGCGTGACGGCGAGTTGTGTGTTAGCGTGTTGGCGTGTTGTGTAAAGTTTTGATAGCGTGACGGCGCGTTATGTGTTAGCTAAAAAACACCATACGATCATGGGGGATTTAATAAACCAAAGATCTTGTTGTTGGTTGACATTCGGTTTGAACAAATTTACGTATGGTGTTAAAACTCGTTCTTTAACCTATTTGAGTCATCGTTCAAAAACTGTTTGGATCTGTTGGGCGATCGGGGCACCATATTATTTCAGTATAATTATTATATGATAAGATATAGGGATTTAAATGCATGCATCGAATAGCTCGACCCTTAGCTGCTAATGTATTAATTACAATGTTGGACAAATATGTAAATGATATATTTTTTCACACATATGTATAAATTAAGTTATCAGGTGTGGGGTGGGTTGTATGCACATCTTTAAAAAAAATAGATCAAAGCTATTAATCAAACAGATAAAGCTGATGGAAAGCTGCTTGAATATTTTTTTAGATATATACTTTTTGTCTGCTTCCGAAAATCAATACAAAGCAAATGAAGAGGTCGATTCCGCTTACTTAGTACATGCATTGTGAACCAGGGTTCGTTGAGAGAGAGAGGGAGAGAGAGATGCTAAAAATTAAGGGCGTTTATCAACCCAAAAATGGCAGTTTTCATTTATTTTAGGAATGACTCTAATTCTTGGCCAAATTATTCGAGTATAACCTGGTTTGGGTCAGTTTACGCTTTATAATCCGCGAAGCGGATTATAAAACAGCGTAAACTGACCCAAACCAGGTTATACTCGAATTATTTGGCCAAGAATTAGAGTCATTCCTTATAATTTAATTTTAAAATCATTAAATAAATATGGGTGTAAAATTTCGTTGCTTTTTATTAGTTCAAATTTGCCGCTCAATAATACAACCGTAGTAACGGTAGTGATGGGAAGCGAGGGGAGGTAAAAACTGATTAGCAGCTTGTTTACATGTGGTAAGATCGAATTATTGTTTGAAGTTAAAGGTATATTTATTAAATTTGGAATTTTCCATGAATCCCGAGGACTGGAAATGAGAGGATTGTATGCATACAGATGATTCAGCTGGTTGTCAGGGGGGTGTGTCCCCATACCAAACCAGGTTATACAGAAATAATTTGTGTTCCTTTTTGGATATTAACCAATCAGAGGCTAGAATACAAACAAAATTAAATTATAAAGAATTACCATAATTTAAAACATTTATCATGTTGTAAAGGAGTATTCTACTTAAGCATAGTAGTGTGGTCCCTTTTTCCATCCTTGGTTTACCGGTTAAATATTAGCATACTGTATTTTGTTTGTTTTCATTGTGTATAACGAAGTATCTCTAACTAAAGCATTGTGAATTTACAATGAATAATTAAACGTATCAAAAAATACAAACCAATTTTTTTAAACCTATTGCACTAAAAAATGCCGGAACATTTCTCCCCGATCAAACTACGGTTTCTCTATTACGTGGAATTGGGCGGAGACATTTAGATTAGATACTATAAAAACAGCATCTTGATATTATATCTTTCTTTCAAAGACGGATTATATGTTCAAGATTCACAGTCAACTACAAATACAATTTTCTATTTACAAATCTTTGACAATAAAACGCTGTAACAAGATGAACCAAACAAGTCCATGCTGACAAATATAAACTGAGTACGTTTCAACTGAGAGCTAGCACGTTTACTAAGGAGCAATTACCCGTAACGATACAAATCCACGTGGCTTGTTATGATTCTACACAGGTCATAAAGAGGTTAATCGCATGTAAATGAAGTTAGCGAAGAGATTCAAAATCGCAATACTTTTAATTAGAAAACATAGAGCACAAGGTTGTTCAACAAAGATATTTTCACTCAACCTTTACACATAAAATATACACATTATATTTCAAACTCGACTCTGAACAAACCTGTGCTAGGTGTTTACGAAAGCTTTGAAGTGTGTACATGTCACTGATTTCTTTAGATATTCGTGAAAATCTTCAATACGCAGCTTCTTATGCTGCCTATATCTATTGTTTGACATTTTTGTGTTAGATGATGATTCAAATATTAAAGACATTAGTTAATAATAAAATTTAACTTTTAAATCTTTTAACAAATGTTCGAAATTTGACGAGTAACCGGGGACCACAGATAAGCCTTATTGAGACTTGTTCTTTTGAATTTACTAGGGGGAGGTAAATGCAAAATTTACAACATGATAACACTTAACACAACCTTCTCCTCGAAAAATTAAATACAAGGCTTTTTGACATATCACAGATAACTTTTTCAATAAAATTGGAACTCGTAAATATACATACCTTGTTAATGGTCATCCGCAAACTTATGTTGTTAAAAAAACATTCTGTTTCTACACAAGTACTCCAAAGTTGATGTTAGAAAGATGCTTGAGTTTCTGATTGACAATATCTATGAAGTTTTTGGAGATCAGGTCTTCCAACAATCTGTTGGAATTTCCATTGGTACTAATTGCGCCCCGTTATTAGCGACCTGTTTTTGTATTCACATGATGCGGAATTTATTAAAAAACTTTTACATGAGAAGAAGTCTCCTGCTGTGGCCTTCAAATCGACATTTAGATATATCGACGACGTTTTATCAATTAACAATATTCGTTTTCACTCCTCCTTTGATTCGATATATCCTTTTGAACTGGAAATATGACACCAGAGAGTCTGACATATCTGTTTCATATTTGTATATTTTACTAGAGAAAGACATTATTGGCAAACTAACAACTATAAACTTTATGTTAAACGTTGTGACTTCAACTCTTCTATCTTTAAATTAATTTTTTTAGCAATATACTATTATTACCTGCATATGGGATTTATGTATCCCGTTTGAATCGATACGCAAGAGCATGTTCTACGTACGAACAATTTCTAAAACGAGGCAAACTATTGACAAATAGGATATCAACAGACTCGTTCAAAGTCAACATTTCGCCAATTCTATGGTCGATACAACGACCTTGTCAGCAAATACAATCCATCGTTAAGTCGAACGTTGACTAATTTTTTAAGCCATTATTTTCACACTGAACTAAGGAATTTTCCATTTACCTGTTTATGATAATTAAGGAGCACGATGGCGAATGTGAGCAACAGGGGATGCTTACTCCCCCATGCCACCTGATCCTACCTCTGATGTTCTTAAAGGTCCATGTTTGCTCTGCTCACAGTTTGTTTTGTACAATGGACTTTTGAGCTTGATTACTGTTCGTTTTATTTATATTTCATTCATAACCAATGCGAAATGAAATTTTGAATGCCTTACAGGTTACCAGTGCCCTTACTTCCCAATCTTCTTAATATCAGTAATTTCTATATACTGAAGAAATTTGTTCTTTCCAAGGAGGGGATGAGGATTCGAAACAACAACTAATATTCAAAACTTCTTTTTTATATGTTTTAAATCAAATTCAATGCTCAACACAAGTCTCATTATTTTGTCATTATTTATTAATTAAGGTAATTAACCTTCACCCTCTATTGCTGACTTAGTCCATTGTGTAAAATTGTATTCTTTTATTTTTTTACTTGATTAAATATTTGAAATTAAAGAATAACAATTAACATATAACGAGTTTTTTCTCATTAATTTGTCAATATTTTACAAATTATTGAATGAATTTTTGAAATGTGTTTGTGTTTTTGATCGGACTGGAAGGTACCCTTCAGAAAAATTCTAAAAGGTTCGTAAAACAAAGATATTTTCCATATAACAGATCATTTGGAATGACCATCAGAATTTTATTCCAACAACAAGTCCCACTATGTATCCAATGGAAAAGAACATATGATTTGTGAGGAATTCCTGGATCTGTAAATACAATGAATATATATATATATATATATATATATATATATATATATATATATATATATATATATATATATATATATATATATATATATATATATATATATATATATATATATACTTTTCATTCCATTGACTCATACCAGATTTAAAAATAAATATTAAAACAATCCATCACAAACCCCAAATAAACGATTATCCTTATCCTTGAAATGTTTAAGATTAATTTTTGAAAAAAGGAAATGTTTATCAATTTTCCTCCATGTAAATATTATTTAATATTTAGCCTAGAAAGCTGAAGATGTTTCTGTGACCGTATGTGCGTGTGTGTCTGCGTATGGTTGATGGACTACTGGTTTTTATGCAGTGTACTTACTGCCTGCATCCAACTCGGAAACTTTTCTCTAGTGGCCTCCTTTATATCTTGTCTGCCACTGAGGAGTCCTCTTAATCTATCCCAGTGAATGGTGATCACTTTATTCTTCTCCGCTACCTGATCAATCAGAGAACTTTGTAACAACAGAATATGTACTCCAATATGATCACCATATAAAAGTTTACTCAATATTTGCATTGGTAGATTTTTTTACTATTCAATCTTGTATACACAGGAACATAGTATCAAAGGGGGGGGGGGGGGTGCAGGGTGGAGGATGCACTTTTCCCCTATATAGAATAATGTATTGCTATCAGTTTGGAAATTATCATTAAAAGGTCTGTCTCACTCCACTTTTTATTGCAGTGTGGTCAAATCCCCCATGTCCATGTAATGCTATGCAAAAATATTCTTATGGGGGAAAACTGGAACCTAACCCCCGCCCCCATTTTTTAAATGTCTGCCAAAGGTTTTGTTTTTCAGGTCCCTTTGAAAAAGGAAATTACCTGTTATATACAAGAAGTATACAAGAGTATATAATACATATACATGTACATGTATATTTAAATGATACATTATTCTATTTACTTTCTGCAGCAAAGATAAACTTTAACTCACCGAGAAAACAATGATGAATATTGCCATGTACACCAGAACAGTGTTTCCAATGTGGAACAGAAACCAGATGGAAGCCCTGTATTAAAAATATGTGAAGGAATTGGAAGAACTCTTACAAATATATAATGCGTCACATTATAGAGTTAAGTGTGAATTACCATCCTGCAAAGGCACCAATGATAGGATCTTTGATTGGGCGGCTAACGAAACTGAAAGGCCATGTGATCCATGATATTGCCCATGTCTTGATGTTTTCAAGATCCATTGCTCAAAATTGTAATCTATAAGAAATTACAAGCATTCCATCCGTAATCCATGCCAAAATGGGAAGAAAATAATCTAAATGGAAATACTCACTCAGTTATATTTAACAAGAGGCCCATTGGCCACATCGCTCACCTGAGCAAATTGGCTAGGAAAAGGCAGAAATCAAATCAGTATTAAAAAGTTTAAATGCTGTAAAATAACATATTTTCATGGGGTCAAATTTTCGAGGTTTGAGGGAAAAAAATGTGTTCGTACAAGCGGATTTGATTTCGCGGATAAAGAATTGCTGAGTAGTTATATACATGGGTCTCTTCATACCTCGAAAATATTAACCTCCACGAAAATTATTAATTTCACAGAATATTCAGTGGTCCCAAATTACCCGGGGGGGAGGGGGGGTATTTAAACAAACTTGAATCTACACTAACTGAGGACGCTTCCATATTTCTTTGACTAATCATGGCTTTTGAAGATTTTCAAGATTTTTCCCTGTATTTTCCTAATATGGAGAAGTGAGGCCCAACACTACCCCTGGGGTCCAGATTTAAACTATACTATCTGAGGATGCTTCCATATATGAATACGACCAATCATGGCTTTGCTGTTCTTGAGAAGAAGGTTTTTAATAGATGTTCCTATATATTCCTATATAAAACTTTGATCGCCCATTATGGCCCCACCCTATCCCTGGGATCGGGATTTAAACAAATTTGAATCTACACTATGTACATGTAACGAAGCTTTCAGAGATCAAGATTTTTAAAGATTTTTTTCCCAATATAATCATATGCTAAACTTTGATTGCCTATTGTGGCCCCACCTTACCCCCGGGATTATTATTTGAACAAACTTGAATTTACACTTCCTGAGAATGCTTTCACATAAGTTTCATCTTCTTGGGCACAGCGGTTTTTGAGAAGAAGAATTTTTAAAAGATGACATTAAATTTTCACCGATTCTTAATTGTCTCCCCTTTGAAGAAGGTGTGGCTTCAATTAAACAAACTTGAATCTCCTTCATTCAAGAATACTTTGTGGCAACTTTGGTTGAAATTGGTCCCGTGGTCCTTGAAAAGAAGTCGAAAATGTGAAAAGTTTACGGACGGATGGACTGACAAACAGACGGACGCCAGACAAAATGTGATCAGAAAAGCTCATTTGAGCCTTCGGCTCAGGTGAGCTAAAAACAAAGGCCGGTTTATGGCTTAATTCTACTGTAAGTGGAAAAATAACTGGCTAGATCTTTACGTGAATCTCCGTCATTTTCTACCCAGAGTTGTCGTTCCCGTTACGACAGAGCCGCAGCGGGATCGACAATGGGGTCTGTGGGTTATCGGTCCTGTCCTCATGCCAATAGATGTTACCTACATACGGACTGATGCATATTCATTACTATATATTTTACGGTAACACTTGTTTACTGTATGAACAGAACTTTGAGATGTGAAAGAAACATATACCTTGAATGTGCCTTTGTTCCAGTATTGCATGCAAAATACGAAAACGAAAGAGGGAATACCAATATTTTTATTTTTAGTTGTGTATTCCGAAAATACGCTCCATGAAATAAAGAGTTAATTAAGGAAATACCATTTTCAAAAATTCAACGTTGATCTTTTCTGGCAAAGTCTTTAAAGCCCCCACCCCTCCTCTCCCTCTCACACCTGAATTTGTTTTCTTAGAACTGTGATATGTTGAAATGAAAACCCATTGTCTAAACAAGAGGCCCAGGGGTCACATCGCTCACCTGAGCATTCTGGCTAGGAAAAGCAGAAATCAATTCAGTCTTGAAAAGTTTAAATATAAAAGTGGTTCGGGGGGGGGGGGGTGGGTGGGGGGGGGGTGGGGGGTTGATTTGAACTAAATTGAATCTATACTTGTTTAATATATAATTTATTTTGAATTAATATGACAATAATGTCTTTGCTGTTCTTAAGAAGATATATTCTTTTGTATTCCTTTGTATAACTATGATCCCCTATTATGACCCTTCTAATCTCCTGGGGTATCATGACTTGAACAAATTTGAATATACGTTACCTGAGGATGCTCATGGCTTTGCTGTTCTTGAGAAGAAGATTTTTCCTATGTAAAACTTTGATTGTCCATTGTGGCCCGACCCTATCCCTGGTGGTCATGATTTGAACAAACTTGAATCTACATTACCCGAGGATGCTTCCATATAAATATGAACAACCATGGCCTTGCTGTTCTTGAGAAGAAGATTTTTAAAGATTTTCCCTATGTATTCCTATGTAAAACTTTGATCTCCAATTGTGGCCCTACCCTACCCCTGGGGGTCATGATTTGAACAAACTTGAATCTAGACTACCTGAGGATGCTTCCATATAAATATGAACAATCATGGCTTGTATGTTCTTGAGATGATTTTTAAAGGTTTTTCCCTATGTATTCCTATGTAAACCCTGATCGTTCATTGTGGCCTCATCCTACCCCTGGGGGTCATGATTTGTACAAACTTGAATCTACACTACCTGAGGATGCTTCCATGTAAGTTTCATATTTTCAAGCGCAGTGGTTCTTGAGAAGAAGCTTTTTAAATGATGCCATTAATTTTTCACGAATTCATGAAAAGGTGTGGCCCTTCATTTGAAAAAACTTGAATCACCTTTACCCAAGGATACTTTGTGGCAAGTTTGGTTGAAATTGGCCCAGTAGTTCTTGCAAAAAAGATGAAAATGTGAAAAGTTTACAACGACGACAGACAACGGAAAATTTCGATCAGAAAAGCTCACTTGAGCCTTCGGCTAAGCTATAAGAAAAAAATCTTCCAAAACTCTTTTATCAGTGTAGGCACTAGACTAGATACAGAACCAACAAATCTTGCACAAATAGTATCAGAGGAGGAGGGCATGTGGGGATCTGGCCCCCCTCCCCTGGAATTTTACGTTATTAGTTTTATAGTAAAGTAACTAAAAGATGACCTTGGACCCTAGGAAACGCCGATCATGCATGGATCTAGAGGGGGGTTGGGGGGTCTGGACCCCCCTGAAATTTGCAGAGTTATTAAAAGTATATACTGAAGCAAATAAAAAATGACTTTGGACCCCCTAGAAAACGTGGACCCCACCATCACCACCATGAAATAGGTGTTTTTCACGTTTGGGAAATGGATTTTAGGTTTTGTTTTTTTTTATGCTCCCGGATCGAAAGATCCCGGGGGTATATTGTTTTTGTCCTGTCTGTCTGTCCGTTTGTCTGTCTGTCTGTTGTCAACTTTAACTTTGCCCATAACTTTTGATTGGTTGGAGTCATGACTTTCATATTTCACATGTGTATTCCTCGTGATAAGACCTTTCTTTGGATACCATTTGACCTTGACCTTGGAGTTTGACCCATTTTTGCAAAATTTTATGAGACTTTAACCTTGGCCATAACTTCTGAACAGTTGGTGCTTAGGGTTTCAAACTTCACATGTGTATTCCTTGTGACAAGGCATTCCTTTGGATACCAACAACTTAGACCTTTTGACCTTGGAGTTTGACCTACTTTTGAAAAACTTTAACCTTGGCCATAAATTTTGAACAGTTGGTGCTTGGGGTTTTAAACTTCACATGTGTATTCCATGTGACAAGACCTTCCTCTGGATATCAGCCTCTTTGACCTTGACCTAGGAAATCTACTTTTGAAAAGCGTTAACCTTGGCCAAAACGTTTGAACGATTGGAGCTAGGGCTTTCATTTTTCACATATGTAATCCTTGTGACAAGACCTTCCATTGGATACCAACCACTTTCACCTTTTGACCTTGACCTAGGAACTTGACATACTTTTGAAAAACTTTGACCTTGGGTATAACTTTTGAATGGTTGATGCTACGGCTTTCATACTTCACATATGTAATCCTTGTGACATCACCTTCCTTTGGATACCAACCACTTTGACCCTTTGACCTTGACAAAGGAGTTTGACCTACTTTTGAAAAACTTTAATCTTGGCCATAACTTTTGAATGGTTGATGCTAGGGCTTTCATATTTCACATATGTAATCCTTGTGACAAGACCTTCCTTTGGATACCAACCACTTTGACCCTTTGACCTACTTTTGCAAAACTTTAACCTTGGCCATAACTTTTGAATGGTTGATGCTAGGGCTTTCATACTTCACATATGTAATCCTTGTGACAAGACCTTCCTTTGGATACCAACCACTTTGACCCTTTGACCTTGACATAGGAGTTTGACCTATTTTCGAAAAACTTTCACCTTGGCCATAACTTTTGAATTGTTGGTGCTAGGGCTTTCATACTTCACATATGTAATCCTTGTGACAAGACCTTCCTTTGGATACCAACAGCTTTGACCTTGACCTTGACATTTTACTTACTTTTAAAAGACTTTAACCTTCACCATAACTTTTGAACAGTTGCAGCTAGGGCTTTCAAATTTCACAGGTATATTCCTTGAGACAAGACCTTTCCTTAGATACCAACATTTTTTATCTTTTGGCCTGGATTTTGACTTGCATTTGAGAAACTTTAACCTTCGCCATAAGCTGCGAAACGGGGATATCAGTGTTTCACAAACACTTCTTTTTTTGCTTGTCAAGAAATTTTTCTGTTAGAAATTTTTTTTTTTGACTGGGATGGAACCCCCCCCCCCTTGAAAAAATTCCTAGATCCGTGCCTGCCAATCACTTGTAATTTGTTAAGGAGTCATATAAGCGAGGGTACATTGTAAGCGGCTTCCCCACCCCAGGATTAGAGTTGTTTGTTTACTTTTTTGCTTGTCATCCAATTTTTGGTTGGACCCTCCCGCAAAATTCCTTGGTCCACGTATGAAAATGCTTACAGACCGACAATTAACACTTTACGAAAGAATACTCTGGAACAGTAATCTCTAGCTATCAAAAAGGAGATAAATTTAAAACATGGAGAGTGAATTAATGCATAAATCTTTATTGTGTTTGATGTGAAACACATCAAATGATATACATCAAAGAATGTATACATGTAGCTTTGTAATACATCTGTAACAATTCATATAGATTAATAATTGACTATCAATAGTTTTGACACCTGGACAAAGAAACTCAAGATGCAGTTCATAATAAACTTTAGAATTCTGAATAAACAATTTACTATGGCCTATTATTTAACAAAGTGGCTTATTTACTTCAGTATCACAAAAGCATCTTAGCCCAGATCAGCAGATTACATTGTATATACTTTTAAATATAGTTCAAATTATTGACTAAATGGTTTTGTTTCAGTTCAATTATCATAATTTAAATAGGTCATATTGATTATTTTAAGAATACATAAGTTCTAATATTGAAATAACACAATGAACTTAAAATTTATATGCAATTATAGATGTATATAAACCTAATATACGTTTTCTTCTTGATTACAGCAGGAAAAATATCTGGTCACCAAACCAGTACATTTCTATTCATACACTACACATTACATTGGAATAATTTGTAATACATGAATATTACCAGAATATTACTAATAGTACTTTACTCCTAGAACTTTAGAGTGCCTAATGAATTGCATTCAAAACATCTGTATAATTGTTACAAAAAAGTAGCACCATAACAAACATGTATGTGGAATTATGTGAAAATAAAAATCACTCTGCTATTTTGACAGAAAGAATTATTTTACATCTGTAACTCTTCTATATAAGAATTAAACTACCAGTACTTAATTCTTATAATCAAATAGTACTAGTATGTGTCACAAAATTTGTGCATTTCAGCTTTAAATCAAGTATTAGCAATATTCAACACAAGTATCGGTATCATTAAAATCACAACCAAATGCAACACTGAATCTTAAGTGCAATCAATTGCATTTAAAACAATCAAAACAATTAATTCTCCATAAAAGCCAGAAAAATATCAATGCCCTTGTTTTTCAAACAACCTTTCTAACAATTAAAGAGAAAAGAGGATTCCTTCCTTAACCATAAAAATTAGATTCAAAATTCTAAAACATAAAAAAATTTATCATACAACCATGTGGTAATTGTTACATGAAAAATTAATTTTTATGAAAAACCATCAAGTAAAAAAAAAAACCCGATCACAATCAGTTGCTGTGAATTTATCTCTTCCTGAAAGACGAGTATTAATGTTTGAACATAAATGACTTCTACATATACATATATAAAAAGAGCAGCACAGATTTTTATGAATAGCTGTCCAGGAATTTGAAACAGTTACAGAGAATTACGTGTGTAATTTATCTAATCCTCCTCAATGTCCCCCTCCTCGGTCATCACCGTCACCAGCGACCCCACCGCTTTCCCAATCTGTCCCGCGGAATGAAATAAATTTCCTACACTGCTGTTTCCTGTCAATGAGAAATATAAATGCATGTTAGTACACTGAAAAGTTCATGTACAGTTAAACTTCAGCATCTCAAACCCGATATCTCGAATACCATGGATATTTCAAAGTGATTCAGCAGTCCCAACCCCTCACTCTTTAAATATTTTACCCTGGATATCTCGAATCCTCAGATAACTCAAAATTTCTGAGTTCCCCATTGAGTTCAAGATAAATAGATTTGAGTTTATATTTAGGAGAGGGTTTGTCGCCAACTCCGTTGCAAGAGGAATTGTGTGCAAAAGGCCTACACATTATTTTTCAAGCAATGCACCTTTGGCAAGTCTGATATAAATTAAAGCATAGGATCAAATGTGTTGAATTTTCCACAATAAACGGGAAACTTTTATATTACCTTTGTCTTCGGAATATGAAGTGCTGGTGTTAGGAACAATATCACTCAAGTCTCCATTTTCCTCAGACTTTCTCTCTGTAAAACCAATTTTTCAAATAAATTTATAAAATAGCAACAAACATTAGTTTGCAGTATGACACATAAGCATTTATCATAAACAAATGTGTGCATAAATCATTTTTGTTAATCAAAAATTATTGACTGCCTTAATTTGCTCAAAGTGAAAAAATATTTGACTTTGCTCAAAGTGGAAAGAACTTTGACTTAATTTGCTCAAAGTGCAAAATATCTGACATATTACTGTGGTAGTTTTACAATGATTCTCTTTTTATCTGCTGACTGACCTGAATGTCCATTGACTATAGGGGTGGACTCCATGGCAGGGCTGAAGCTTGATTTGGACTGACCCTGGGGGCCAGAACTGGTGGATGAGGGGGTGGTGGGAATGGAAGCGGTCACCGGTAAACTGGTATCTTGGGGCTGAAATTAAAGACGTAATCAATGTATATACAGAAACAATTACTTAATCATAAATGTTTATAACAAGAGGCCCATGGGCCACATCGCTCACCTGAGCACATTGGCTAGGAAAAAGCACAAATCACTTCAGTATTTGAAAAGTTTAAAGGGGAGGGGGCTTGGATTTTGAACTACCTGAGGATGCTTCCATATCGATATAACAAATGGCTTTACTGTTCTTGAGCAGAAGATTTTTAAAGATTTTTTTCCTATATATTCTCTTGTTAAAAATTTGATCCCCAATTGTGGACCCCCCCCCCCCCCCATCATTTGAACAAACTTGAATCTACACTACCTGAGGATGCTTCCATATCAATATGACTAAACATGGCTTTTCTGTTGATGAAAAGATTTTTTTCCTATATATTCCTATGTAAAAATTTGATCCCACATTGTGGCCCCACCCTACCCCTGGGATTTATGATTTGAACAAGCTTGAATCTACACTACCTGAAGATGCTTCCATATCAATATGACAAAACATGGCTTTGCTATTCCTGAGAAGAAGATTTTTCAAGTTTTTTCCCTATATATTCCTATGTAAAACTATGATCCCCCATTGTGGCTCCACCCTACCCCCAGGGGTCATGATTTGAACAAACTTGAATCTACACTACCTGAGGAAGCTTCCATATCAATATGACAAAACATGGCTTGCTGTTCCTGAGAAGAAGATTTTTCAAGTTTTTTTTTCCCTATATATTCTTATGTAAAACTATGATCCCCCATTGTGGCCCCACCCTACCCCCAGGGGTCATGATTTGTAAAAAAAACTTGAATCTACACTACCTGAGGATGCTTCCATATCAGTATGACAAAACATGACTTTGCTGTTCTTGAGAAGAAGATTTTTGAAGTTTTTTCCTATGTATTCCTATGTAAAACTTTGATCCTCAATTGTGGCACCACCCTAACCCTGGGGGTCATGATTTGAACAAAGTTAAATCTACACTATCTGAGAATGCTTCCATATCAATATGACTTAACAAGACTTTGCTGTTCTTGAGAAGAAGATTTTTCAAGTTTTTTTTTTCTGTATATTCCTATGTAAAACTTTGATCGCCCCTTGTGGCCCCACCCTACCCCGAGGGGTCATGATTTGATACAAACTTGAATCTTCACTACCTGAGGATGAATCCACATCAATATGACTAATTGTGACTTTGTTGTTCTTGAGAAGAAGATTTTTCAAGATTTTTTTCTACATATATCTATGTAAAATTTTGATCCCCCATTGTGGCCCCATCCTACCCCTGGGGGTCATGATTTGTACAAAATTTAATCTACACTACCTGAGAATGATTCCATATCAATATGACTAATTATGGCTTTGTTGTTCTTGAGAGAAAGATTTTTTTTCTATAATTTTGATCCCACATTGTGCCCCCCCCCCCCCCCCCCCCGCCAGGGGGTCATGATTTTGTACAAACTTGAATCTACACTACCTGAGGATGCTTCCATATAAATTATGACTAATTGAGGCTTTGTTGTTTTTAAGAAAAACAATTTCAAGATTTTTCCTACATATTTCTATGTAAAACTTAGATCCCCCATTGTGGCCCCACCCTACCCCTGGGGGTCATGATTTGAACAAACTTGAATCTACACTACCTGAGGATGATTCCATATCAATATGACGAATTGTGGCTTTGTTGTTCTTGAGAAGAAGATTTTTAAAGATTTTGTTCTATATATTCCTATATAAAACTTTGATTCCTCATTGTGGCCCCACCCTACCCCCAGGGGTCATGATTTGAACAAATTTGAATCTGCACTACCTGAGGATGATTCCATATCAATATGCCTAATTGTGGCTTTGTTGTTCTTGAGAAAAAGATTTTTAAAGATTTTTTCTATATATTCCTATGTAAAACTTTGATCCCCCCTTATGGTCCCACCCTACCCCTGGGAGTCATGATTTGAACAGACTTGAATCTACACTACCTGAGGATGATTCCATATCAATATGACTAATTGTGGCTTAGTTGTTCTTGAGGAGAAGATTTTTAAAGATTTATTCCTATATATTCCTATGTAAAACTTTGATCCCCCATTGTGGCCCCACCCTACCCCAGGGGGTCATGATTTGAACAAACTTGAATCTACACTATGTAATGAAAGTCTCACATAAGTTTCAACTTTTACAGCCCAGTGGTTCTTGAGAAGAAGATTTTTAAAAGATACCACTAAATTTTCACTAATTCTTAATTATCTCCCCTTGAAAGAGGGTGTGGCCCTTCATTTGAACAAACTTGAATCCCCTTCACCCAAGGATGCTTTGTGGCAAGTTTGGTTGAAATTGGCCCAGTGGTCCTTGAGAAGAAGATGAAAATGTGAAAAGTTTACAACAACAACAACGACGACAACGATGACAGACAATGGACAAATTTTGATCAGAAAAGCTCACTTGAGCCTTTGGCTCAGGTGAGCTAAAAACTACAGTAACTGTACAACTGAGATTGCAACATCCTGTAGAAATTGTTATATATATGCCTAAGTACATCATAATGTACAAGATTTGACTATTGAAAAATGGTTACACATGTCAATTCCTTGAAATTAGTCATGATTAGGGGTGTGCTATACAAGTTCCTCTGATGTGTCTAATCCAGGAATCACACATCAATTTCTTGAAATTAGCTTTACTTGATCTAGTAAATGACTGAGGCTACTGGGAATGGGGTAAAGGTTTATATCTGCTCCAGAAAGTGTCCAGAGTTTCATGGTATTGGAGTGGAATGGAGTAGGGGATGCTCTTAACTTTGTCTGAGACTCTAGGATTGAGAATGTGATGTTCAGGAGAATGCCCTTACCTAGTCAAGTAGGTCTCTCAGCCTCTGAAGCTGGGTAGGGGAAAGGAGCATCCTTATGTAGTCAAAGTCTGAAACTAGGGAATTTAGAGTGGGATGGAGGGGGAGGATGTCATTACCTGGGCTTAGTAAGCATCTAAGTGTCTGAAGCTGGGGGGCATTCTTACTTAGTCAATGTCTGAGGAATGGATGGGGACAGGGATGCCCTTACCTGGTCCAGTAAATGTCTCAACCTCTGAAGCTGGGCCTCCAGTTGCTTGTTGTGGTCCTCGAGTATCCTCATCCTTGACTCCAGTCGACCTTTGTGTTGTCGTAGTAACTTGGCCTCTGCAATCATTTCCTCATCATGGTCCTCCGGTTCCTCCATGGAGTCCAAGAAGCCGTTGCCATTGACAACCCTCATATCATTGGCCTGCCGTAACCGGTCATACTCTGCTTGGAGTGTCCTACAATGATCACAAAATTATACTTTTTTTTGGCAATCGCTTCAGAATGTAGCATTCAATGCAAAATAAATTAATCTTAAATGATAGAATGATAGAATTAATCAAAATCTGAAATAATTACTGCTTACAGTTTGGTTTATTTTATTGTTTAATTGAAGCATCAGCACTGGTAACCTTTCTCAAAAATTTGCAAAAATTCTGACTAATGATACTATTTTTGAAAAGTTCTCTTCTTCATAAATTTAACTGAGATGCAATCAGTTCTTTAATTTTTTTGTTCATTCCTACTTGTTTTCATCCTCCAGATCCCTGATCATGGCCTGGAGTTCTGTCTTCTGCTCGGAGTCCACCGCCATCATGATCTGCATTGGACTCTTCAACTTTAAATATAGAACAGCAGCTTTTTACCCTGAGCCATACATTCACCTATACATGTAATTTCTTCTAATCACAATTTTTTATTAATTAGTTAATAATCTGACTTATTAGACATTTCATATTGTTTTCCCATCTTCGTAATTTTCACTTTGATTCTTTTTCTTCAACTAAAACTTCATATTAGGACTAATAACCCTAGTGGGGCAACTACAGTGTAAATATAATACTGCCAGAAAGCCCACACTGAAAAAAAACAAACTTACTGCTTGGTTTGAGGTATCTCCATTAAGGCTCTGGCAGTACTGGGCTATCAAATGGTGCTCATCATCTCTGAAATAGTGAAAAAAATTTGTAAATACTATAATACTATCCTTGCAACAGAGAAGTTACAAAAGGAACAAATCACTAACATTGATTAAGGACATACAGGCCATGCAATCTCTTTTGGACATGTATGGGGGGGGGGGGGGAGTCAAACAATGAAAGATGATACAACTACTAGGAATGTTAATTTTTCTTTGTCAACATAATATATTAATCACAATATGGTTCACTCTGATGAATTTGAAATTATAAAGTAAATTGTGAGAACCTTTCCAAGTTTAGAAAACCTCTCATAGGCTAGATTTACACGGTAAGTGCAGAATTGATCAAAGAAAACTTACGAGTCTGGGGTGGATGAATTTTGCCTCTGCTCCACTTCTGCCAATCTGAAAGAAGCCATGAAAATACAATTTTAACATGTCATCCCCCTGTCTTCTGAAAACTAAACCAACATAAAACCGAGCAGGAGTTTGCTATAATCAAGGGAAAGATGAACACTTGATGACAAATTCTCTTGTTCCCTATCAATTGGCTAAGTATCAATCTGTCTGCAATTCTGAGGCATTTTATGATTTGTTAACATGCATGCACATTAACTGATGAGGTGCAATTAATTAACACCAACTCATGACATTTTAACAAGATCCCCACGTTCCTCTCTGACAATTACCTAAAATAAATCATTTTTGCACAAATTTAATCAAATCCAAGATAACATGCAAGCACATTCCCAAATTAACAAACACTGAAATGTAAAATTGGGAAATAACACACAACCTCACAAATTGGTATAAAAGACAAAAGATGAAAACTTGCTATTCCACTGGGATTTCAGTTCCAATATAGCCGGACCAAAATCTCAAACTCATCAATCATCTGTTACGTAACCTACAGACTGCAGAAAAACGCAGAGCCTCTATTTCATCTGTTCCTTACCTCCCTGATCTTGGGAGTGAAAAAAAAAATCAATTATGGCAGACACAAATATATGTCTCCCAAAGTGTTCTTAAAAGCACGAATCAGAAATAGACCTGTTTTTCCATTGCCAGACATTGCTTCGTATATTAACTTAATTGTCAGAAATAACGTACTAAAAGGAAGGAGACAATATGCAAGCCATCAAAAAATTCATGTGGGAAAAGGCAGCACTATCCACTCTGAGGAAAGAAATGAAACTTCACAGCAATGTATCAAATTGATTACTGAACTTAACATACAGAATTGTCACAAAATAACAGAAGTGGCCAAATAATATAAAATCAAAAGATTAGGGTGGAAAATAAACTGGTAGTTTAAAATTAATAGAGTTATCATATTGCTAATGTGTCTGTAAAATGTTGAGGCCCATGAACCACAACGCATCTGATAGTCACACAATTTTTTTCAGTACTAGGACACCTTGCTGTCATTGAGAAAAGATTTTATTTAAAAGGGCTTTCTTATAAATATATATTTTTTCTATGAAAAAAAAAAAAACTGTAGATCTTTTCTTATGCTCATTACTAAATATTTCTTTTTACTATCTCCCACTAAAAAAGCCTGTAATTTCCATGTAAAGAAACTACAGTGGTTGAAGAAACTTGAACTCAGTATGACTCCATTTTCATCTCAGGTTCACTGAGGAAACTTGAACTCAGTATGACTCAATTTTTATTTCAGGTACTCTGAAGAAACTCAGTGTGACTCAAATTCAGCTCAGATTAACACAAAAAAAAAATTCAACTCAGTATGACTCATTTTCAGCTCAGGTTCACTGAACAAAGTAACTCAGTATGACTCACCTATTGGCGTAGAGCTCGAGACGGGAATGCATATCATGGGACGAGATACTGTGCTGCGGTGATGGCGAGGGGCTGAAAAAGATAAAATGAATTATGTAGCTGGGAAGGCTATCATTTAAAACATAATGTACATACACTCAACCAATAATCTTGGACAATACAATGCATGGTCTACACAAAAAAGTCTTAAGACAAATTTTTAACCCACATATTCTAAGATTAATAACAAAGCACAATCTAGATGCCCAAAATCCTGCCTCCAGGGCCAAAAAACTTAGATGAGCTCAATTCTGATCTCAGACTGACTCACTTTAACTAAAGGAATAAATAATGGAAAAGTGGGACTGAGATCAAAAGTGAGCTCATCTAAGTTTTATGGCCCCAGAGCCTGATCTTTTACCTGAACTGAATACACAAATCTATATGTTAAATGTCTCCCTCATTTTTGCAAGAGATAAATCTCAAAACAGTGCAACACAAGCATGCACTAAACATTAATCTACAAAAAATGAAGCACAAATACCAAAACTTTTCTCTTTACGTTCCAAGTCCTTAAAATTAAGTCCCACACTTATAAATTAGTCTTCCTTGGTGTTCTATTGCAAAACCCAGAATTCAATTACCAACCTCGCCAAACTTCAGTAGGGATCTGTCAAGATCGATAGGTTTTAAAAGAAGGAAATTTACCTGGCAGAATGGACGGAAACTCATTAAGGTGTTTAATTTGCTTGTTGCTTTCATAATGAATCGAGCTAATTGACATTTAATGTACTTTAGAGGTGTGATCTTAAAAAAAAATTTTTGTTAGAAATGTTTTCTTATGTGAACATTCAACTCTACACTCCAAAATCCTAAAAAAAAAAAAAATTAAAAATTTACATGTATCTCTCCCATCCTTTCGTTTTTCTCCTACAGCAAAATCGACTTATCTTGTACTCAAATATCCAATTTTATTTAATTTTTCTGAATTTTAACTTTACAGAATTAATTAATACACGTAACTTGTCAAAAATCCTTGACCAGCTATTCCAATATAACACCATAATCACTATATACTTAAAAAAATTCAGAAATTTTCTTTGAAATGGCTAAGAAAATATCCTTTTTACCTGCAGAAATCATCCCCAATTCCCATTTTGTCAAAGATAAAATGAAAATTCCCTTCTCTGAACTTCATGACTCATGCACAAAGGTGATGTAAGCTCACAAGCAATCTACATATTACGGGGAAAGCATATTATTGATCTCGTCAATCTCTTACACATCTCGTTTCTTTCTAGCCCGTCAAGTTTCCAGTCATTTTCACAACTTTCCTTTTACGATAAAGCTTTTCCAAGTCAATTTTCAACAACAACACATTGCCAGATAAAATCAAGCAAGCAGAACAAAAAATTTTATAAACGGAAATATTCCCTTGGAAACTCCATTGATTTGTTGGTCAGATCGACAATACTTCTGAATTCCGATGGTGATTTGTAAGAATTTTATCTGCATAAAGCTATGGCTTCTAAGTTATCAACAGTTTTTGAGCTAGCTTGGAAACCCAATAACTCATGCACTTATTTCTAAATATCCTGAACTGCACAAATCAATATTTTGTGCAAAGGGAGAAATAATTCAACAACAATTGATAAATGGTACGTTCATAATTTAACACTGCAGACCCCAGTGGTAAAATTCAAATCAGACCTTTAACCCTGAAGTATGACCTTGACTTCATTTGAAGCCTTGACCTTTACATTCTCTGTAACTTTTTAAAGAATATTTGTCAATTAGACAATAATTTATTCTGCAAAGATTGAAAAACATATTAAACACTGATCTAAGATTTTGGGGTATGACACAAAAAAAAATCATGTACCATTTAGTTTCTTAAATTCAAGTTTATATTCTCATCACTCAACTTAAACGGCAATTACAGCAGTTTAATGCATCATTTTCTACACCACTGCAAGCATCAGGTATTGATTGTTACCACCAGAAAAATCCATATTCCATGTACAAAGTGGAAGATGGAAGGCTTTAATCATGAAACTTTGGAATTTAATTAGCCTCCCAGGGTCTATGATGACGAGGTGTAAGAAGGCATTAATCACAGTCTGGGTTATAACAAAATGTCAGTGTATTGGCTTAATTAAATTTTCCAGCTCCATTTCTTTATAAAGCCTGAGTTTCTACAAGCACTCAGCAGGACATTTAATTAAGGGGTGATCTATGTGATTTGTATGTTAATTCTGGCAATATCACAACTGAAATATTCAATTTTCATTCCTACCACAAGGAATCAACTTTAATTTTTGTTCTTCATTATAGAAATTAATTGCAAAATTTTCTCTCCCCCCCCCCCCCCCCCCCAATCCATCTATATGTGTGTTGTATTCACATTCATATTCTTTGAGTATTTGGAAAAAAATTTAACATATCCCTTTAATACATCAAAAAACCAACATATTGTTGCATTTGGTAATATTCAAACAAATATTCAGAGAGAGAGAGAGAGAGAGAGAGAGAGAGAGAGAGAGAGAGAATGCTAAAGAGAGAAATGTAATAGCTCTAAAAATCAATAACTTTAAAACTGACAATGCCTGACATGGTTACTCTTGCTATGAATATACTCCTGCACAAGTTATCTCCCTCAAAGACACAACAATGTAAAGGCTAGCTAACACATAAAGCTCTCCCATCCCCCCATACTGCTTGGGGCAGTGAATCAATCCTCACCTGTCTAACACATCCCCCTCTAAGACAGTCTGGACTGGCAGGAACCCTAATCGTGGATGTTTCTTGAAGTATCGTTTGGACTTGAATTTATTTTTCAGCACTTTGGTGAAATCACGAACATCTTCTCCTGAGGTTGTCTAATAAAAATATTAAACAATTCCATGATTTGCTTAATACAGTTAAGATATTTTTCTCCTTTAATTCAACAACTGATGTATTATGAAAGTACAGGTATGAAACCTTTGTTTAAATTTTTGAAATTCATACTGAATACAAGATTATCAATTAGAAATAGCTTTGCCCATGACCCCCCCCCCCCCCCCCCCACCTCCAAGAAAAACACTTCCTAAAAATTTCAAGTCCTCAGCAATAAGAACAGAAAGCAACTATATTCCTTGCTGATATAAATGACATGCAAAAATTCTACCTTTCAAATTAATGTGCTGCTAATTTCTAGGGAATAAAATTCACATGATATACAAATGATTCATAGAAAACTTACAGCAGTGCAGTATTCTTGCATTGGATGGGCAAGTTTGTGGTTCTTGGCCTTCCTCCCCGAGAAAAAACAGTTTTGGCAAATATCAAAATTAAAGCACCTTAGACATCGATATCTGAAAGAGAACAGAAAAACATATCAACAGCTCTATCCAGTATTGTTAAATAAAGAGTTATTTCCCTTCTAATGCTAACAAACTGATCATGATCAAATTATTCTATTTTTTTTTATTTTTTACTTGCAGAATTATCCAGTTATTGATAATACACATTTTATTTTTATCTCTCAATTTCTTATCTTTCAATTAAAAACTACTCTTCATCTTATTTTCTTTTATATGATTCACATATTTATATAGCTAAGTCCTTCCAAGAGCAAATATGCCATGTCTTACCTAAATCCTACAATTGGGTATTCTTTACAGATATTGCACTTTGCTTGGTGTTTGGCGGTTTCTGCGGCAGCCAGACGGTGCAGCACGGGTAGCCACACCAGGGACTGTGGCTCTAGCTTCAGCCACTCCAGGAAATGATTCACCTGAATTTCTGGTCGACCGTGAGCCTGAAATACAAAGTTTTTTACATGTAGCTCCATAACTTAACATGGATGAACTCTAAATGAAATATTCCAATGATTGGTATAATAAGGTGGTGCAGATGAAAATCTGGCTATAACTAAATGGCACTTGTAACAATTAGTATGCACATTAATGAAATCATAAGTTATCTCCATGACTGCAAAGACTGAGTGAAATAAATAATTTATTTTCATATTACAATAGGATTCCTGCCATCAGCCATTGAGTCCCCCCCTCCCTCTTACACTTTTTCATACCATTTCAAAACAGCTCCTGACACTGGGTTCAATGTTGCTGCCTCCAAAGGAAGCCACCTCCCCTAATTGTCGTGGGACCTGCATACAATCGTGTAGGAGTAGGCCCAGCCGACGTTTGTCTGAGAAACCATTAACGTCCGCGATCAGACGGAATAAAACTGAAATAAAATGTAATCATTTCTTACTCCATTTTACCAATGTATGTTCAGAGAAGTGTTCCATACAATTACATCAATTAAGTAATGTTCAATATTGCATCATCATGTTAAAAATTTAAAACAAAAGTAGATGTACAGAGGTTAATGTACGATACATAACTTACACTTATATTTATCATCCAGCTGTCCATTGCATAATAGTAATATTCCTACTTTGAATGATAAGACTCTAACTTTTCCACTTCTGGCACTAAAAGGAAAAATTAACGACAATTAATTGAGTTTAAGGATGTAAATTGCACTATATGAATACATGTACTCGTATCTTCAAAAAATATGACACTTCTATATCTATATATTAATTCTTAAATGAATAAAAAGCCTTCCATTAAAAGCAAACAATAATAATCAAATCAAAATCGATAATCATAATCAAATCAAAAAAATTGTCAATATAATTTCAAAGGAAATTATATATTCTATATATTGCAACCATATACTTACATGTCATAAACATTTAGTATCCAGTTAAGCACTAAATCCACACAGAGTGAAATATTAACAAGTTTTTGATGTTTCTGTTCGATTCGTTCATACATAGTTCTTAGACACCGGATCATATCTATAACATCTATAACGTTATCATTACGTCCCCTGAGATTGTGTTGATCGAAAGACTCTGTGGCAAGGCTCATAGCTACCAAGTCCACTGTTAAAAGGAAAGAAGAAGAAAAAAAATCAAAGTTAAAAACTTGTTTACAAAGAGATATTCTTGAAACTGTATCGTTCAATTTCTTCCTTACACAAAATGCTTTTCAAAATGATTTGCATGTCACTGATACTTTTACAGTAAAGTTCCAGACAGAAAATTTGGACAGAAAAGTAGAATGAAATTATGATTACTATAAATCCTTTGAATACTGTTTGAAAATAGTATGGAGTTAATATCAAATATACCTGAACTTGGTTATCTGGAATACCATGGATATGAAATGATTTTGAAGTCCCAAGGACTATTTTACCCTCAATATCCTAAACCTCAGATATCTCGAAGTTTTTACTCAGTCCCATTGAGTTCGAGATACTAATTGAGGTTTGACTGTATTTCTAAATCAACAGACATAGTTCTTTTTTCTCAACCCCCACTACTGAGTTCAAGATAACGAGGTCTGACTATATTTCATTTGAAATGGAAGATTAACTTACGTCGGAGTTTTTTCTGAAGCATTCTTAGCTTCATGGCAGTTCTGTAGGCAGCGAATCGAACATTGTTTAAGTCCGCTGTTAAAAAAAATAGAACATCATTCTTACGAGTAACTATGCCACAATTAGGGAAATACTGAATTTGATGGTAAACATCTGAGAAAAATATAATCTTTAAATGCATTAAAATCTTGAATCTTTTAAAAATTTACCCTTGAATGACAGCATTTTACTGGTTGTGTTATAAATATTTCCACCAAAATAGGAAATTTAAAAAAAATGTTTGCAGATGCGTGTTTTTTTTTATATTAGCTAGGGCATGCATTTAAAACACTAGAAATATGTCCACAGGACATGGATGCCAAGGAGACTGTATATTAGTAATGCAACATGAAAATCTGTATTAGTGTATGAAGTTTGATGAGAATATTTTGAACAGTTTCTTAAAAATTGAAATCTAAAAAATTGGATATAGATGATAAATTCTCTACAAATTATGAATAAGTGCATAAGCTTACAAAAAAAATATCTTAAATGGTTTCTTTAAAACTAAACAAAATTCAAATTAAAGGAAATTGAGGTCAAGGTCACAGGAAAGTGCCAAGTCAAAAGTTTTTGATACAGTTGAATAGCTCTCACTAATACGTATCAGCATAATAAGTTTGATAAATATATCTTGAATGGTTTCTTTAAAAATGAGCTAAACACTAATTAAGAAAAGTGAGGTCAAAGAAAGGTAAAAAAAAAAAATGTTGATGCAGTTGAATTGCTTACATCAGTATGTTTTAGCATATGAAGTTTGATAAAAATATCTTGAATGGTTTCTTTAAAACTGAGGTAAACACTAATTTACGAAAAACTGAGGTCAAAGTCAAAGGAAAGGTCAAGGTCAAAAAATGTTGATGCAGTTGAATAGCTTATATCAGTATGTATCAGCTTATGAAGTTTGATTACACCATCTTGAATGGTTTCTTTAAAACTGAGGTAAACACTAATTTAAGAAAAAGTGAGGTCTAGGTCAAAAAATGTTGATGCAGTTGAATAGCTCTCATCAATATCTATCAGCATAGGAAGTTTGATAAAAAATATCTGGAATAGTTTTTTTTTTGAAACTGAGCTTTGAACTGAGCTTTGAACTGAGCTAAACGCAGAGCAGGACGGAAGGACAGACAGAAGGATAGAAGGATAGAAGGACGGAGGATGGACATGACAAACTCTATATGCCCCGGCCATTTTCATGGTGGGGCATAAAAATAGCTGTAGTTTAAGGAAGCTTATCTTACCTAAGCTGTCCATAAGGTCTGTCATCACAGGGTGGTCCCAGTGGGTGGTAGCTGTATTGTGGCTGTAACACAAAAAGTTTGAAATTCATTTAAAAGAAACATAAAAATCATAGGCTTTAACAATTTAAAGGTACATTATCCAATGCAATGCCCATTTTAAAATGCTTTAAGTGTCTACATCACAACATCAATAATACAAGCATTTATCTGATCACAGCTACTGTATAATTGAAATCAAGTTGTTGATAACTTCAGATAAAAGCAAATAATCAATGCTATTCAACATTTAAGCTTTTGCTCAGAGCTGTCAACAAAACTTACAGGCATCAGATTTTAAATGTGGCTTATACATCATTTATAGTTTATGTTCGTGATGTTGACTATGAAAGCATTGATTTTTGAAAAAGCAGTCATAAAATTTTTGAAAAATATATGAAAATTTAATTCTCATTCTAAGACTTTTAAAATGGTTCGATCTGCATGAACAGAGGTAAATTAGTACACGTTTATATGGCAGAAAATAAAAATACACCTAAACACTAAACAATATACATAATTTTGTTGAAATTTCTGCAGAGAATATTTACCAAAACCAAAACCAAAAAAAAAACACAACCCCCCCCCCCCCCCTCAAAAAAAAAACCAATGTGTGAGGGGAAAATGCAATGTAATGTAATTATTGTAATACTTACTTAATGTAGTAAGGCACTTTATTCCCTGACACAGCTCGTTCCCATGGGTGTCCCACTGAGGCTGAAATAAACAATTAACATTAAATTAAACATGATCTAAATAATTAACAATATAGGTAAATAATTGACTATCACACTATATATTCATTAGGCTGTTTAATTGTGGTTTAACTAATTTCACCAGGGGCCCTGTTCCTGCATTAATCAATACATTGTCAATTCATCTGTACAGTACCTCAAGGCACACTGTTTATTCACCTAATGCAGGACACTCACTTTGGGACCAAGCATTTTGTATACTAACGTATATAGCTAGAGCCCCTTCACAATGTCAAGATTTAGAGCTACGATTCATCACAAATTAAAAAATCACAGCAATTTGGGGTTCATTCCGGAGGTGGTCATAGGATAAATATCTTCCTTATTCCGTTAAATTGTAGCAAATCGCCAAATGCAGTGATTATTTAAGAATGTTCAAATGTCGTGTAGAAAAATGGCAAGGTTAATATGGCAAATAATGGCAATTTTTAGCTTTTACTCATTTGTGGGTAATCATAGAATAAATTGTAGAAGTGCGACAGGGCTGTACAACCATAATCAAACAAATATGACATTTGGAAGCTGTAGATCAGACTTTGCATCTGATTATAAAGCACATATTAATACATCCTTCATGCTTTCTGAGGTCTTGTCATTTTAGCTACTTCATTTTTATTTGCATAAGCTTGGGATATAGTCAAAAAGATGGTGAAGAATTTCATAAAGTTTATATACATTTTATTGTGGACTTTATTAAACAACTAATCACAGACATGGATTGAAAATTTCCACTGTATGCTGTTAAAGATGGACATAGTTGTAAACAATGGGCCCTTCTATTGCCATTGACACCTTACATACAACCCATTACACCTGCCTGAAAGACACACTCCTCAGGATAAGGACCCTGTATATGCACATTAAAACGAGCAATATATTCTGAATTAACCTCCAATCAACCCAAATATGTGCTTCAGACCGAGATTCCATTTGTGGGGACCCCTAACTGCTAAAAAAAGTAATTTAGGGACCTTTGTCAATATTGACTTACATGTACGGATTATCTTGATTTAACAATCCTCTTAGAGGCCTATGTTTAGCTGTATCAGCAATACATTCACAAGACTGGGTTATCTCGACCAAAAACTGCTGTTTAAGTATATGGTTTGGTAATCTTACACAAAAATGTATATATCTACCAGCTAAGCAATTTTTAAAGTGTGTAGCATAGGATTTTCCAATCTGTTTTAATATATATACCAATTCCAGCCCTAATTATTAAGATTTATAAAGAAATCCCCATGTTCACATAGTTTGAACATTAACAAAAAAATCTAGAAAACATTTTTTCTCTACAAATGTATAAAATAGAATACATTTAAGTCAATTAATTAAGACTATAATTCAATTAATATATAGAAATACCTTGTAATGCATTCATGATCAAAAACCAAAATAACAAATCCTCACAAGTAATGATTTACAGTCCTATTAAATCACCAAATATACATTAAATAAGTTCAACGAACTCCAAAATCGCAATAAATGTGTTGCCCGTTATACCTGAGCCTACACTTGTTGCTTTGTTTTCCATATTAGGTTTAATTTGATTGCCCTGTGATCCCCGTAGAATCCACACCTCGTTTTCCGCCTGATCGACCTGCATGTTTATAATTGTATATTCTCTGCCTGTATCTAACTTACACCGCGGACATCACAGCTGATGGAACACTTGGAAATTGACGAGTACAAGTTTCCTCCTTGTACATTTCACCTGGAGTTCTGTTATCGTAACCTAAAAACTTTCCTGACATAAAGCTATCTTTGTAAAAAGGTCTTTCACACAAGTTTGTCCTAGTTTTATGAACAGAATTCTTTCCAACATGCCAGTAGCTTTCAATTAAAATTAAAGTCTAGACTTTCAACATAGACTGGATTTTGGGCCAAACCTGTCCCTACTGCCTCATAAAAATCACCTGTGAACACCCAAACTAACCGATACACCTGTCTCGTTACCTTATTTTACCTGGGTATTACATGGAGGGTTCACAAACTCGTCATTAACAATTTCCCTGGTGTATATTACTTGCAGAGCCCAAGGATAGATTGATTAAAGTTGATTAACATGGTGTAGATTATCGAAGGCTAAACTTCCAATTTTACACATGAGATGAAATAAATCTTATCTCCTTTGAAGGATTTCTTATCAAACTTAAACATCTACCTTTGAAGGCAGGTTCACGAATCTGATTTCCATTCAAACAGGATAATCAAGTTCTAGTTTAAAGATTTAGATCTGCTTGAAATCTTTTTTAAATTACAATGAACATTTTATCATTATTGTCTTGCAAATAAGGATAAAATTGCAGAAATAAGGAGTGTATAAATTTACTGTTTTTAAAACACAATTTAATCCTTTGATACAGTTATCAATCAAGACTGTCCAAATTTAGTACGTCAACTTTTACTCCTATAATCAAACAAAGACGTACAGATTTTACGGAGTCTACATTTCAAGTGTGCAGTCAAATGCCCCAAAAGAGTCCGCAAAATGTCTTAATCAAAGACTGACAAAGCCATATGCTATAAATTATATCTCACAGAATTCAGATCAAATATGGCCGTTTGAAACATTATTATTAAAAACATGCTGAACCTTAACATTTTAAGGTGAAAGAAATATGTTGATGTTAGGTGGCAGAGCTCTTCTGTTATTTGGTGTCCTTCACTTAATATTTCCAAGTAAATCGCCAGTAGGTTATTCATGTGTTGGCATATTAGAATTTGATCTTGGAAATCTCCATGTATCATACATGTATCATATAAAATTCATTCAGAGCCATCATGGAATCACCAATATGAAGTCACTAATCTTTTAAAATTTTTGAAATCATATTGGGAAATTCATAAGCAATAAATTGTGATTTAATAGGCAAGCTGTCCAGAAACAATGTGCCTTTAATCTTCCATCTTAAAAAAATACCCGGTAAAAAGAGAGCTGATTATACCAATAATTTTGGAGGGCATACCTTTGAGAGCACAAAATTTTCTTTTTATAATTGTATTTTTCAGCCATACCATCTTTGACAGATAACTATATAGACATGATTTACCATTCAACATAACCTACCAGACAGGAAGTGTTGGGATTCTGGACCAAACTCTCGCGAAATCTCAGTGAGATCTCGTAGTCTGTCCTCCGACTGAATCTGCAACTCCTTAAACCTGAAATATATATTCAGAGTTTGTATATCAAATGGAGGTCGATATATCTTTTTTTTTCTTGGTAACATTTTTATCATGGATAAAATTAATTAAATTTTAAAAATTGTCCACTACGTCTTGAACCGATCATAAACAGCAAAACAAATTCTTGCAGTTTCCAAGCACAAGCATATAAATTAAGTAAAACTGCATAAAATACAAAAATATTTAAAAGCACATTTTTCATGAATTTAATAATAAAATTTCTGACCCGCAGAAATATTTTTTGGCAAAGTGCATGTGTTTTTCAAAACTAAAATGGAGCTGTACCTTGTATTATATTCTTCGAGTTTGTGTACATTGGTGTGGGACAGTACAACGTGTAATGCCTGCAGCTGATTGGCTTGTTCATTGACGTAATCAGCATCCTTCTGTAAAGGTTCAAGGTTCATCTGGAAGCTCTGCCAAAGAGAATGTATCCATTAGTTGATAAATGGAAACAAAATATTCCAACATAATACTATATAGTTCAAAGCAAAGTATATTTCATAGCTGGTAAAATATAGTACTTTTCCTGCACAACATTGTATGACACCTATTTTAACACTGCAGATATCCCACTAATACAGAGCAAGTCCACTGACACATGTGTTACATTGTTCTGAAAGTAATACATTGTTTGTGGGTAAAAATTTTTCACAAACCTGTTTTGAAAGACAGACATAAAACCACATATAACAATGATTTCTCATTCATAAATATTCAACATAATAAGCATGCACAAGGAGAAAGTTAATATTACTCCTTTTTAAGTGTGTTAAGGTGTTTCCTGAACTTGAAAAAAATGAAAAAAAAAATGCAAGATGTTACCAACCATCGATATTGACACACTGATGCAGGTACACATAAATACAAAAAGAAAAGTAACATCTGTACTACATTTACATTTTGTACAGCAAAATAGTGACCTCTGCACACAAGCTGATTAAAGACTTGTAAGAGTTACCTACCTTTGTGTGGTGGATTTCTTGTTGTAGTCTATCTCTGGGTATATCGGCCACTGGCAGCCATTTAGCCTTGGCCTGTTCCGCTTGGACCAAATGTTCCTCCATCTTGTCCAGGCCACTTTCTAGCATGCTCATCAACTAGAATTTCAAATGATAATCAATATTAACCCACTTATGACACATATACATATACAATTCTGAATAATTGATTTAAGATTTTTAGCCTACATGTACTTGTAACGTAAAAAACCAAATGTTACGAGCTTACCTCCGTAGCATGTTCTATTCTGCTCTGCCACTCGTGACATCCCTGGTTCAGTTCCGTCCACTTCCTGTTTAGGAGGCGGACCTGTCGACGGATTTTAATGATAAGATGCTGTGCTTCTGGAGTTATCTCCCCCTGTGCCAGTGCTTCTACAAATAATTCTCATCAGTTAGTGCACAACACATCAAACTTTAAAAAAAAAACCAACTTATTTCAGTACTTTAATTCAAATTAAGATTATCTACCTGATAAAAAATTTAGAGGATCTTATAGATTAAAAGTGTAGCAAGGATTCATGCACATTTGTTTTGAAAGTCAGACATTATCATATTTCATTGTACTTGATCCCCTTCTTGTTTGTAATTTTATTTATACTACTACATTTATACTACGTTGTGTCATTTAATAAATGACATTATTCATCTCATAAACATATTCAATGCATCAAATAAAACAAACTAATTAAAATATATGTTAGAGGGTGATGAAATCAACTGTCTCCAAATTGTATCTTATTCACTATAAAGTTCTATACAGTTGAACTTGGATATCTCGCACACCAATATCTCGAATACCAGGGATATGTCAAAGTGATTTGGCTGCAGTCTCATTCAATTTTTTCTTTATGTTTTTAGCTTTGTTATCTCGAATCCTCAGATCTTGAAGATTAATCCTGGTTCCGTAGTTCAAGATAACAAGGTTTGACTGTATGTGGAATTTCTGTTGTTCATGCCAAATACCAGAATATGTTTCAAAAGTACAAAAAAAAAAAGTTAAAACACGTAATCAATATTAATACCCTCTAAAACTGTTATTAGCAATTATTTTCCTGTTGTTCCTGACAAGAACTAATAAACACATCAACATAGTCTATTTCCTTGAATTCTGTGCACTTTTGTTTCTATGTACTTTAATGCTATTCCCTTATTACTCAAATGAACAACGATGATTAAGCACAGCAAGACATAATATGGTAACTCTAGTCTCGTAAATTTTCTAAATTTTTTTTTTTTTGACTCTAATTAAGAAGAGAATGAAACAAAAATTTGCTACTGCTGTGATTTCTTACATGCGAAAAAATAATTCCTCTAGTTGGATATTACATAACTGAAATAAAAATATCCCCTATACAGTTTAGCATTACCTGTAATTTTAAAGATTAAATTTACTCTACAGCTGCATCTATAAAACTTTAGATTTTCTACAAGGAAGTTTTTCACAAAGAAATATTTTTGAAGTATTCATGCATGATTATTCATGTAACAGCAAAAAGGTGCACTCCATGACATGGCATATTACCACGGCAATAACCTTGACCCCTACCAGTTTTATGGTAATAACCTTGACCCCTAACCAGTTTCATGGCAATAACCTCGACCCCTACCATTTTCATGGAAATAACCTTGACCCCTATAATTTTCATGGAAATAACCTTGACCCCTACAATTTTCATGGTAATAACCTTGACCCCTACCATTTTCATGGCTGTCCACACTGTCCTGGCTGAGTCTTCTCTCTAGACCCTCCTCCCTGAGGTAGAATCGCCCCGCTTCCAAACTCTGCTCAACGATCGGTCGCTTAGTGTCAAGGCTCACAAGCAACCTCTAGAAAATTCAAAAATAAGGATACGGTCTATATGGCACTTACGCAGTCAAACTTTTTGTCTCTTTTCAGTTTAAATTAGAAGCAATTGTTAAGTTTATACAGAATCAGAGCAAAAATAATTTTTAAAGACTTAGATATTACTAGATAAATTAAAACAATAGCAAACTAAACTGTCTATATTTTCAGCTTTAATCTGATACCTTAAACAGCACAACTGACTGTAAAAGCAGAAATATTTGTTGGGGATTTAATTTCGTTGTTGATTAGCAACGAAATTAAATCCCACACGAAATTTTTATATGACTATGAATTGAATAGTGTTATTTTTAAAACAACGAAATTTCATGCCAACGAAACCTTTACAGATGACAAATCAACCAAATTTTATCCCCACGAAAATTTGTGCTTCTACAGTAATTTCAGTTTGAAATCAGAATCATAAAGGCTGCTAGCTTACCTGATTGTCCAAGTTTTGCCTCTGGAGGGCCCCTGAATCCCCTCCTAGAGGCCTCTGGCCCAGTAATTCCTGCTGCTTCTCCAACACCCATCCAATCAGCTCTTGCAATGTATTCACCAAGTGCAGCCATTGGTCAGCATTGCTTTCAAGACGCCCCCTTTGGGTGAAAAATATTATTTATGTTTAATCTTTGCAACTCGGAAGCTAAATCTTACGTGCATTGAAAACCTGATGCTTTTTCCTTCAATGACAACAAAGCAGTTAGTAGTTCTTATCCTACATTTTTGTGTGCATACCCATACCGAAATAAGTTATAACTAAGTTATAACTTTTCTGTAACTTTTTTGTACCTCAAGAAAAAGTTACATTTTAGTTATAACTTTTCTGTACCTAAAATGGACTTAGCCATTTTTAGATGTAACTAAAATATAACTTTTCTGGACTTTGTCATTTTACTGTATAACTTTTTTGTACCTTTTTGAACTTAGCCATTTTCTGGTGTAACTAAAAGATAACTTTTCTGGACTTTGTCATTTTACTGTATAACTTTTTTGTACCTTTTTGGACTTAGCCATTTTCAGATGTAACTAAAACATAACTTTTCAGGACTTTGTCATTTTTCTGTGTAACTTTTTTGTACCTAATTTGGACTTAGTCATTTTGCAGAATGGCTACTTAGTTAAACTGAATTTTTTTTTTTTTTTTTTTTTTTTTTTTTACCATACACCTAAATTAAATTTTTTTATATAACTGTTGAAATTTAATCATATAAAATATTAAATAAGCATAATTATATTAGTATAGTAATACAGTTTTACATACCTGTAATATCTACAGAGGATTATATGAATAAAAAGGTGGGGATGATTAAGGGCTACATAAAGGTACCACTGTTTATATGCAGAATTTTCTTTATCTAAAAATTATTCATATAATGAATTGCATTATATACTGCTATTACTTACGCAGACATTTATTTTTCTGTTTTGTTGTGAGTTGAGATTTTTTTTTTTAAAGAAAAAGGGGGGCTTCTTAGACATCTTTACTACCAATGTTTTACTCATCCATTGCAGTCCACAGCCACATCCACTGCTAAGTTCAACAGAAGAGATGTGAAGTTGAGACTTGTAGTAAATTACATCTGAAGTTGGGAATAAATCTCTCTCTAAATCTGAGTCTCTCTCTCTCATTAATAAATATTGTTGTTTAATTAATATTTGTCTTGTAAGTACTAGTTTCATCTAAAGTTGGGAATAATCTCTCTCTCTCTCTTTCTCTCTCTCAGAAAATACGTATTATATAGATTTCATGTTTTGTAAATTATATGCATGTACATCTTAAGGTGGAATAATTTCCCTAATTCTGGAGAAATATAAATGTTCAAGAGATATAAACAGTGGTCAAATGTTATAATCTCATGAAGTCATTTAATATTTTGCACAGATTTTTCTTCGTACGGTGGTACATTTAGGACACGTAATAATTTTTTTTTAAGATACCAGGAAATATTTATCTCGTGAAAACGAAAAACTATCTCGTGAAAACGACATAATATCTCGGGAAAACGACATAATATCTCGGGAAAACGACTTATTTTCTCGTTTTAACGACATAATATCTCGTGAAAACGAGATATTATCTCGTGAAAACGACATAATATATCGTGAAAACGACTTATTTTCTCGTTTTCACGACATAATATGTCGTTTTCACGAGATATTATCTCGTGAAAACGACATATTATCTCGTGAAAACGAAATAATATTTCGTAAAACGACTTATTATCTCCCGGAAACGAGAAATTATCTCGTGAAAACGAGATATAATCTTGTGTGAAATAAATTTTAGAAAATCATATTTACCAAAATTGATTATTTTTCCCCAATTTCACTTACATACTTATTATATATGGATCATGCTTTCTTTCATAACCAAGTAGTTTTCTGCTAGATTTGAGAAACTTTTTCTTCTGGTATATTGTATTGTGAGCTATATTAATTAATGTCCTTCTGACAAGACAATGTGCTATCCTGAAATACTTATTATTGCCTTTTCAAATCTATTTGTCAGTGATTGAGATAGATGACAATAAATATGTTAATATAATATTATATTTTATTAAATAAAAGTTGCATTAAGCATGTATACTAAGTTATACATCCATAGTTACATTATAATTATACATTATATTGTGTAACCCTGTGCAATTTCAATCAAAATGTCCCCTATAACTGAGCTTAAGATACAGATCAAGTTTGAGTTTCATTCCTGTTGATCGAATTAAAAAGAGTTATGACCATATTTGCCATTTTTTCCAAACTGTTTTACATAACATATATTTGCTGAATATCAACGTTGGTTTGGATCTAGTCTCCTTAATGCGACATTTTTTTTTATCTAGGAGCTGTAGTATTTGTATTCTGAAATTTCTTAATATTTTTTTAATGATCTTTGAAACCAAAATGAAAGCATTCCTTAATGACTTCCTCTCTTGTACACTCTTCAACCCTATTTGACAACGAATAGCAAAATACTAAATCAGGTTGTTCAATGTATGTAACAAAATTTAACGTCGAAAAAATATGTCGTTTTCACGAGATAAGTCGTTTTCACGACATATTATGTCGTTTTCACGACATATTATCTCGTTTTCACGAGATAATATGTCGTTTTCACGAGATAATATCTCGTGAAAACGAGATATTATGTCGTGAAAACGAGATAATATGTCGTTTTCACGAGATATTATCTCGTTTTTACGAGATAATATGTCGTTTTCACGAGATAATATCTCGTTTTTACGAGATATTATCTCGTGAAAACGAGAAAGTAAGTCGTTTTCACGAGAAAATATCTCGTGAAAACGAGATATTATGTCGTGAAAACGAGATAATATGTCGTTTTCACGAGATAATATGTCGTTTTCACGAGATATTATGTCGTTTTCACGAGATAATATGTCGTTTTCACGAGATAAATATTTTTCCTGGTATATTAAAAAAAATAATTACGTGTCCTAAAAGTACCACCGTATCTTCGTGTGCAAAACAGTGTTAATTTCCCCATTGTTTTCTCGTGACACAGGTGTTTGTACTAGATGACCTTTTTGGCCTACACTTCGTAAATTTCAGCTTGTGTATTACGCAATGGTACAATTTTACAAGGGTTGTTTGAAATCTAAAGTAAATCAATCGTAATAAGGGTGGCTAGAAAGATAAACAACAGCATACAATGTGTGTATGTTCATTTATTAACAGATATTACGATGTTGGGAATAAAGACTGCCAGTTATATTAAGATTTTAGCAGAAGACTAGGACATGTGGATTTTATTATTTGCCTGATTAAATAACCCAGTTTTACTAGTTATTTTCATAAATAAATAAAATATTAAATTCAAAATGGCGGCAACGACACAAATATGGCGGCCCCGACGTCCGTTTTGTCCGTTTTGTTGGAACTCTGTTTCAAAATTTTAACACCAACTGGCTTTTTAATATTTAAGATAAGTTTCAAAATACACAATTATGTTTATTTGGATTTAAAATAAATTAATTATGAAGTATTTATTTATTTATTTTCAATCACGTGACTTATTCTAAGTCTCTGATTGGTCAACAACAGAGCGCGGATTTTTTCATGGACGATTTGAATGTTGGTGTGTTGAAAGTGTTGATAGAAAAACGATGACAAAATCATTCGGTAAGGCAATATTTATGTTAATATTTTGATGTTTTTGGTAGGAAATGTTTATTACCTTTAGATGGGCATTCAAAAAAGAAGAAATATGTAGAATGAACAAAATTCTAGGCATGTGAATCTCAGATTTCTTGTTTGTTTTGATTGGTATGTCAATGACAAAGACTGAAGTGAAGAAATTGAAACATAATATTTTTTCAGCATTTAGTATAGGAACAAAAAATGTTATTCTTTGTCATATTTAATTCTTTAAATATTCCTATAGATCAGTTTAATTATTAAATGACCTATATTGTGTAATTGTTTAACAGATTCTCTGAACTGTTTTAATATTGTACATATTGTAGCCTTTAAACACCACATGATCATAACATGATATAGTGTACTGAAATGAGTAAAATAAAATTTCTAATTTTTATTTCATTTCAGCAGTATACTGGTACATTATTTCTTTCCATGAGCATCTTATGTCTGTGCCAAGCTGGAGTGAAATCCTTCAAAAATATCACCTGTTTTAGGTAAGTAAATAATCAAATCTTATTTTTATTTCAAATTCGATAAATCTAAAGCTAATTCCTATAAAGCTGTCAGGTTCTATATTGTTCTTTATGTTTAAAATTTTTTTTAATGCATGTTTATGTGATGAGCCTTGAGGTTGAATTTTCTCAATTACACAACAGAACTCTAATTCTTGTTTTCCAAGTTATAGATGCATATGCCTTGAATTTGAATGAATTGATATTAAAGAGTGGTTCCAATCTGATATGCTTTGAGTGCAGGAAACACTTCAACGTTTTTTTAAAAGAAAAAATTAAAATATTTAAAGTTTGAACCTTTTTAATTTTTGCAGAATTGAAGAAAAATGAAGAGAAGGTTGAAATTGCAAGCATATTTCAAATGAAGACTCGGACGACTACCAGTGCAGGCCATTGAGGGGCGCAGACCATCTGCCGGCCGGCCAAGTCCCTTGACCAGCTCGGCCAAATACCAGTGCAGCCTGTCGAGGGGGACACACTGCTGGCCGGCCAAGTCCCATGACCACTTCAGCCTACTACCAGTACAACCTGTCAAGGGGCGCAGACCGCTGGCCGGACGGCCAAGTCCCTCGACCAGCTCGGCCGACTACTGGTGCAGCCCGTCTTTAAATAATCCAGATAAAAATGTTACTGTACATCCACAAGGATACCTGTGCAAGGACTTGGGTGGTATGCAGCTAAGAACTGTGACCGAAATCACTGCTTAGAACCTTCTTTTTTTTTTGAAGTACAGCTAGATCATGGCGCTAACATGAAAAACTAGAGAGTTAAAATCTAGGCAGTGATGCCTATTTATAAAAGTTCACAAGAGTAGAATGCAGTTTACTAGGTAATTTTACAAAAACTCTTATGACTATATGCTAAAAAAAATGTATTTTTAGAAAACAACCATTCTGAGAAATTTCAATCTGTTATGATGGCTT